AGAAGGACGTATATCGACAGAATCCCTGGAATTCTATACCTACGAAAATTATTTGTTTGTACTTTGGCCGCCACTTGCACAGAATCTAACTATATGCCGGCTATTCATGTAAACGTATACCTGCTCGCCAACTATATTATACTCCTATACCCGCCTTCTGTCAAAACTTTAAAACTTCAATACTAATTGAATACTTAATGAATAATGGAAATTAATAATTCAACCATTACAAATTTACATTAATTAACTCGATACGACTACTATTACTATAAAGAGTTCGGAATTTCGGACTTTTAAGGAATAATCAAATTTAAATTGTTTCTTATGAGTTTAGCGTTCAGGTAAACGTAAGATAAAATAAATCGTATTATTCATTGGGAACAATCTCTAATACAGTAATAATTTCCCAAAATTGATTTCAAATTGATGGGTCCAAATATTGAAATAATAATGACCAACCCGTAATAATAAATTGCATTAAAATTTAGTAAACTGTCAATTTTTTTTTGATATGGAGATGATTTCTTACATCGTGCAATCACGCAAGTAAATTTCAAATGTTTAAACTCTTATGGATGCACCATCGTGATTCCGTTTCTACGGTGTATAATATATTATATGACAAAAGCAAACCTTATTGGCAATTTGCATAGTTATCGATCAAACAAAATATACTCATTATAGAAATCTAACATGAATAATTTTAAAAAAAATGGTTTACTCTGGTCATTATTTTACAACAGGGTATACGTGCAGCGTCAAGTTATATTAATGTTTCTCAAGTTGAATCAAAGCAAACAAGCTCATATAACTGTATGTTTTGTTTAACTGTATCGATGAGTTCAGTTAGGTACTAAAAATGTGTGCGTGCTTTAAAAAATCGAATTGAACATAATATGTAATTATTCTTACCATAATACATGCCATCATAGTAGTATAATTCATATTTAAATAAATAAATTCTTATTCATTTTTTGTTGGATAATAATAATTTTATTCTTGTAAATAACTGCTATCAGTTATAATTTACAAGTTTCAACATAATTTTAATAGTATTTTTATAGTCCCGGTCGCTTGTTGAATGTTATTTCATCCAGATTAAATGGTTTATTGTTTCAGTAGGTATGTGTACACTGTACAGTGTACAGATTACGTATTGTTAAATGTAAGACCCCATATATAAGTTCGTTCATCAAGTATAACAAAATGTATATGATACATAGGTACAAATAAAATAATATACTTCCTACAACAATACAACTACATAGATTTTAAATGTAAAAGTATTTGAACTAAACTGTAAAGTGAACACTGGTGTTATTATTACCAAACATAGATTTTACATATTAGAGCGTTTTATTTTTCACGTTGATACTATAGCAATATACTTTTATGCATACATAATATATATAGTATATATTATAGAAAACAATTAGTAATTAAAAAAAAATAATTCTCTCTGTAGACTAGGTACGTGTATATGTTACCGCCAATGATGATAATTAGGTATTGTTAAAAATGACTAGTCAATGTTAACACTGACTGTTTTACATAGGTATTGATATTATTGGCTAGTCTTTTTAGAGAATACCTAACTAAGATAGACAATCATAAAACAAATTTAATATTAATACATAATTTCTATGATTGACCAGTCATTGTCATTATTGACTAATACTATGTAGCCATTGATAATTTTAGATATAATATATTATATTTACTATTTAAGAATAAACAATGAAAAAAAAATATAAGAAAAAATTAATTTTTTCATAATAATTATTATTTTAATACTTGTATGTTGATTATTGATTATGACGTATGGGTATCACTTATTCTCGCATGATAAGCTGTTATGGCATTTCGATGTACAAAGCCGGTTATTAGATCTACAAGTACATTTATTTGTTTTGCATTTTGTTTTGCAGTGGCACCGTGCACAATGCATACAAAGACTTAAATATATCATAATAGTTTCCTTGGTAATATTAGAATATTTTGTCTTTAATTCATAAACCATGCGGTCCCTACCACCATGACCTATTGCAATGTGACTATCGTGTAAAATATCAAATAATTCGTCATTTGATACATAATAGTGTACATTTTCTGAATTATTACTTATAGATTTAATAAGTCGTTCTTGCCCATTGAGTGTTATTATATCATACTTACGAATGTATCTGTAATCCTTTGCACTTTTCTTCCCAATTTTTTCCTTAG